AGCATTTTAAGCATAGACACCAATACTTCTTACAGAGCGGTCACTTTGATTCTGAAGGTGAAGAATACAGACACTTGTGGGCCTTGTTCACAGCAAATGGGCCAGAAAGGCTCAGGGTGAGGTAAAGAGAGGTTTCGACCTTCCATCCTCTGAGTCTGTCTATCTCTGTAGAAAGAGCAAGCTCTTACTTACTATGGGCTCTTTTTTTTTTTTAAATTTTATTCATATATCTAAGGTAAAGGGAATATTGAGGGAGAAGCCCCACCCTATCTCCCACCCATCCCAGGTCCCCGGTGTGGGACATGCTCTGAGATCCTTGCTCAGGTGGCCTTGATAGTTCACCAGTTATGGGTCACTGCCATTCTCGCCACTCCAGGCACAATGAGGTTGTTGAAGAATCCACTGATTGACATAGTCCATCATAGAGTCTCCATTTGTCCAGCATTTCACTGCCAACATATAGCTGAGGTGATGGATTGACCTGTTCTGTCCTCCGTCTTTTCTTGGTTAGGGTTCTGAGTCTGCCATTTCAATTGTGGAGATCCCCAAAAGAAACTTTGAGGTGTTCCCAGACCAGATTCTTGTGTGTACTAGCAAGTATAGGGCCCGGCACAGTCCATCGCCCCATCAGCTGGTGGTTGCAGTTGCTGGGCTGGTTTTGTTTTCAGCCCTGATTTCCACTGGAACCAATGGGTGTTGCAGTGCAGCCCGGTTCCACCCAGCACACACTCGGTCCTCACACAAACGAGTGGAAGCTGCAACCCTGTCAGAGCGACCCACAATAACCCCCACCAGGCCCACCCCTACCCTGGTTTGCCAGTATGTGTAGCAGACTAGTCCAGTCTGTCCCACATCCCATTTGGCTCTCGTACATGTCGCAGGGTATTGCAGCTTAGTTCCATCTAACCAGCTCAACTATCCAGCCCTCACAGATGCTGCTGAGTGCCTCTCCGTCCAGCCACCCCAGTCCCTGTCCTAGTTTCTTTCCTTCTCATGGGAGGGTAACCCAATAGGGAGGAGCCCAGTATTTCCCTCCCAGGTCTCTCTCACTCCCAGATTGTACACTCTCCATGTGGTTCTGTGGTTAGACTTGACAGTATCAGCCCCCAGTGCCTGCTTCTGCTGCGGCTAAGCCCCAACAACCCTCACCCACTCTAATTATGTTTGCACCCGTGGGAATAATCCGCCCACCCTGGCTTTTCCCTGAACTAGTCCATATGAGGCGCACAGGCGCTGTAACCCTGCCTAGTCTAGTCTGTCTCCATCCCAGCTCACTCTCTAGTGGGAGTATCTGTCCAGCAGGGGGACCATCCTTTATTCCCCTGCCGGCTCTGCCCCTCCCTTCCTGATTCTCACATGTGCTGGTTGGGTGCTGCAGTCACATCTGGCACAGGCAGCCTCACCTTGGCATTCTGTGTTGTGTACTGCTTTTGTCGGGACCAAAGCTGGCTCGACCCACACACTGCTCCGGCATTCAGATTTGCCGATGGATGATGGGAACTGATTCAGCCTGGTCCGCTCCCGACCCATGCCAAATGTATGCCAGTGGGACACTTCCCATGACCTCTTCTGGGCTGTTTCCTTCCATGTTTCTTGCGTTTACTTGCCGGGTCTGTGTCCTGTCAGAGGAGTTGCCCAGGCTCCTCCATCAGGACCCTCTGAGTGCCAGGTTTCATGCATACCAGTGGGTTCATGAGCCAGCACTACTCAATTCACCTCCTGTCCTAGCAGGAGCAGTGACTCTTCTTACCTGGCCTTCAACCCATTCTGGTTCTTGCTGTTGGATGTTTCAGTGCAGCCGCAGCTTGTCCATACTCACATATAACTCATATGTGGCTCAGTGGGGGTTGAGACCTAGCCTAGTCCGTCCCGCATCTACCCTGGTCCTCCAGAACACCAGAAGGTGTTGCAGTCTGACCCGGCCTGGTGCATCTAGTCCCACTCCACACTTGTGCCAAGGGAGACTACAACTGTAACCTGATCAGAATGCAGCTCCATTCCAGCCCGTGCACCCCTTAGTGGGTACCTCCTCCCTGCTAGGGTTTCCCCTTAGCTGCCCAGCCGGGCCTATTCCCAGCCAGTGTCCAGTATGCCAGTGGTTGCTCTGATTCAGCTAGGCACAGCCCGTCACCTGTCACGACCCCTGCCTTAGATACTGTGGCTCAGTGTCCGTGACTCACGCAGACCAATTGGTACAAGAACCTAGTTGGGCATGTCTTGTGCCCCGTCCTGGTTTCTAATTTAACTTGTGGGCTAAGGTTTGCTCAGTACTGCCCGGTGCCCCCGTTCTATCTTCAGAGGAAGAGTTACTGTCATTGGGAATTTTCAGGATTGATTCACATCCCCAAAGCACTGTGGGTTCAGCATGGAGCTACCTAAGCAGCGACTCAAAGAACCTAAAATCCCAGAGCTCCCCTGCCAGGCGACCAGCAGGCGGAGCCTGGCGCCAAATGGCGCATTGGCTGCACTATGGGCTCTATAAAGGACTTCAAAGGGGAGTGGCTTTGTGACACCAGCCCATTAAAGTCCCAGATCGAGATTGGTAAGTGTCATTTGACTCGCAGGTAGGCAGAGAGGGTGGGAAGGAGAATGTGGCTTCCAAACTCTAAACCAGCTTTGTACCTAAGAGGCTTCTGACCCGTAATCTTAAGGGTTGCTGAAGGAGGAAGGTTATGACATAGGTCACTCAGTGTGTGTACGTACACATCCAGCACCAGGCCAAAGCCAGGAGCTTCTTCAGGATTTCACCCATGGCTGATAGGATCCCAAGCATTTAGGCATTGTCCACTACTTTCCCAGCAGTGTTAGCAGGGAGCTGGATCAGAAGCGAAGCGGCTAGGACTTAAGGGGTACACATGGAATGCCAGTGTTGCATGCAGCAGCTTGGCCCATTGCACTGCAGCACTGACCCCCAGACTAACATTTTTTGATAAGGACAAATGTGGAAAAATGACACCATATAATCCATGATGGAGGCATTGGTGTCACTTTAAAACTACTACTAACTTTTTGTTAAGGAAATGACATTTGAAAAATTCCTTTTGGGCCCATCATCAAGTCCTCACCTTGAACAAATTGGGATCCCACATGGGTGCCAGTTATAATCCCGGCAGCTCCACTTCCCATCCAGTTCCCTGCTTGTGGCCTGGGAAAGCAGTCGAGGACAGCCCAAAGCCTTGGGACCCTGGACCCATGTGGGAGACCCAAAAGAGGCTCCAGACTCCTGGCTTTGGATCGGCTAGCTGTGGCCATTGGGGTCACTTGGGAAGTGAAACAACGGATAGAATATCTTTCTCTCTGTCTCTCCTTATTTCCTCTCTGTATATCTGACTTTGCAATAAAAATAAGTAAAACTTTAAAGAAAAAAAATTCTTTTTTATTCCTCTCCATGGTTAATTTTTGTGTGGCAAGTGTATTTACGAAGGGGACGGTAAACATTTGGCCTGTGGTAGAGACAGACATCAGTTAAGATGCCTGTGTCGTCTTATTAGGGTTCAGTTATATGATAAAAAAGTTCATATATCTGGATAATCAGGATGTTGTAGCCTTTATTGAAGTAAAATTTTTTTTATTGTCTACCTTTGGCAATTCTCCCTGGCTTATAAAATGAAAATCAGATTTCACAGCTTTTGTGAGAAGTTCTATAAACATATTGATCCTTTGCTCTATTGCAATGGCATACAGCTCTTCCAGTTTATAGTTTTTGTTGTGTGTGTTAAGCTCATTTCCTTGCTTGGTTGTGGAATTTCTGCTGTGTGCAGACTTTTCTCTACTTGCAGTTATCCAAGCGCCCATGTTTCAGAGATTCCATCCTTTCTCATTCTCATCTTGTATTCAAAATGTTTTTTATTATTTCTAATGTACAACGCTTAACACAAGAATTATCTGTCTGCTTCTCCACAACCCAATAATAAACTCTTTGGGAAGTAGAAAATGCCATTTTAAGGCATTGTTTAAGGCCTTGTTTCTCCCTTGTAGCTTTTCTTCAGTAATTTGTAGTATTGCCCCTATTTGGGAGGGCAGGGAGAAATGGTAAACCATAGTGTGAGTTAAAGGATTACCACTGCCTGGGAAAAAATGAGGAGTCTGAATACTCCAGTTTACTTGTTTGTGTTACTTATAGTGCTGTTCTGTTCTTTTAGAATTTGAGATGTCATGCGGTCATCTGATTTTCTAGCCTTAGACAGGTGAAGCTTGCAGCATGACATCCTAATGGAATATGACCCTAGAATTTCTTCACTGCAGGTTATAAGTCATAGTTTCAAATACAATATTTATTTTTTAATCAATATTTGAAGGAAAGTAAAATGATCAGATTTATAATGAGAAAAATAAGGTTTATTTTTTTTCAATTCATGGCTATATCAGAAAGAAGGGGACAGTTACATGTAAGTCTTGTTTAGGTTTTGATGCTGGTGGTAAGATTTGCTATTGTGTACCTCAGTTTTGTATTTGAACAACTTTTATAACACCCCATTATGTTGTTTTCAGTTGTTGTTTTTTTAATTTCAGTGAGGGTGTGTGTGTGAGAAGTAGTGGTAGTGGTAGAAATAGTTGTATGAAAGTTAAAATGAATATAACTTTTATAGAAAAAATTTCAGTGGGGAGAAATGTCTTTTCTTGAAGTAGTGTATTATTTTGTTATTCTAGAGATATGGTTTGGAGATAAATCACAGTATGGCCAGATAACTGGAAAATACTAAGCTTTTTTTTTTTATTGATACTTGTGGACCATCTAGATACCATTCATATATATATATATATATATATATGCATATGTGTGAATATGTATGAAGTTTCCCAGTATAATTCTGTGATGTCATATAGCAGTTTAACAACTTAAGGATAAAGTATTTCTGGCACTTATTTTGTAATTTAGAACTTAAAAACCCAGTTAGTAAGATTATAAAGAGATTATAATAGAGACTGAAATTTCATGTTTCCTTTTGTTCATAACAGGACAAAGTCCAAATTCAATGTAAGTCTACTTTATTTTATAGGCCTATGAAGAATACACCAGCAAGCTAGATGCACTCCAGCAAAGAGAGCAGCAGTTGTTGGAATCCCTGGGGAATGGAACTGATTTTTCTGTTTCTAGCTCAGCATCAACGGACACCGTTACGTCTTCTTCCTCTTCTAGCCTTTCAGTGCTACCTTCATCTCTTTCAGTTTTTCAAAATCCCACAGATGTGTCACGGAGCAACCCCAAGTCCCCACAAAAACCTATCGTTAGAGTCTTCCTGCCCAACAAACAGAGGACAGTGGTAAGTCCAGTTATAATATCATTACTTTGATATTTATGTCTTTCAGAAAGACCATTTGTTGACAAATCAATATATTATGATTTTTATTCAGAAATCATGGAAGTGGAAGTATTGATTAAAAAAACACAATGGAAAAGACATATGTGTTAGGTTCCAGAGTATGTTCTCTTGTTAGTCCAAATTGTATTGTCATATTTGATGTTTAAAACCATCTGCTGAACTTGAAACATGCTTGTGGTTAAGTGCTACCTAAAAATCAATCAGAATTTGGAGATTTTAGCTTGCTTGTTGTCTGATATATGTCAGGTGAGACTTGTTCTTCTCCCTTGAGAAATCACCGGTCTGACTTATTATTAAATATTGAGCTTCCAGTGTACTGAATGTATTTCCTCTTATTTATATAATTTTGTTTATTATTACTCTTAACCATTGGAATAATGAAAACCGTAATTAATATTTAAAGTGAAAAAATATTCAGAATCATTATTGATGATCTGTAATTCACAAGCACAACAAATAGTCCATTGACTTCATAATGTATCTATATATCTCACTGCTTTTTAGATTTATGCTTGCTTGATTCATTTCCACATTTTTACACAACTAATATCTCTTCTACTCTTTCTTTTTCTTCTGTTATGTAGAATTAAAATTATTTTCCCCTATTAAGTTGAAGTATTACTGAGCAGCATCTTTCAAACATGCCCTCTTAAAAAGGGAAATAGAAGCAAAATTACATGGGTATGATCCGTGCTTTAGTTCTAAGTTTCAAGAAGCTTGTGTTACAGAACAGTTGATGGCGAACCATCCCATCCTCAGTAGATTTTAAATGAATCCTTTATTACCTGTAGAAAATAGAAAATGCATTTTTAAATCGCAGGCATTTTACTTCTCTTTCTCACAATATTATTCCTCTTTACAGAATCTACTAAGCTTAGAAATTTTGTGTTTCTGCATATAAATTACAAAAAATTTGAATTGTTAAGGATAGCCATTCAGATTTGTTGATCTAATCTGAATCATTATGGTAAGCCATCCTCTTCATATTTATGAAAGAATCAAAGAGAATCCTTAAGCTTAGATAGCAGTAAAACTTAGAATTCCACTTTTAAAAAGCAGTTGAGACCCATCAGAAATGTGGAATAATAAATAAAAGAATAGCTAGGCAGTTGGCTAGATTTGTATTAATGATCCTGGCTAGACTTAGATTAAGCAAGTGATTTATTCTTATTTATTATGCTCTGAACCTAACCACATTTAATGTTCAGAGAAACTGTTTCATGAACTTCAGAAGATCTTAGGAATAAATAGGTTTAGAGCATCCAGCTGTTTTAAGGATACTATTTTGCAATTCTTCCTTGCATCTGAATCTATTAACCCTTTTCTTAACAGCCTCCTCTTTCTTTCATGCCGTAATGATTACTAAGATTAAAAGTTACTGTTTCAATATTTGCCATGTGATGTTGCAAGTTCTGTGCTAGAATCTTTACACATTGTCTCAGCCAGAATGCATTATAAATAGAGGTGTTAATGGTAGGAAACACCTGTTCATTCGGAATAGGTGACTGTGTGTGTCCTGGACCCTCAGGAGAAAGGACAGTAGAGCCTACACGAGGAAGTGAAATCAAGTGCCAAAAGCAAGGATGCTTTTTTTTTTTATGAAGATTTAGATGTAGAGTCCAGAACAACAGACTCTAAGCACTGGCCTTTATATAGTTTTTGTCTTTAAAAATTCCATTGAAATAACATTAAAGGCTTATACAAAGGCTAAATTTATAGGACATTGACAGAGGACTAGAAATTCTAAGGAATCCTGAAAGATATAAAATATGTAATTGGATAAATGAATAAGCCAAAATAGAAAAGCAAGAAAATACTAGGAGCTGTATATAGTCAGTCATTCTTCTCAACAAAATCCTGATGAGTGTGATGCTTAGTTAGCAATTTAAAGGAAGCAGATTTGTCTATTCGACAGTCACCTGAGGACAGGTATTTAATTGAAGATGTCACTCCAGCAGGAGGGCAAAATCCTCCGTCCTCACAAATCAAGTAATGAATATGTTGAAGATGTGTGTTAGCATGAGTTCTGTAGAGGAACAAAATGAACTAGACCCAGCTTAAAAACGTTGAATTTCTAGCAGAATGAAATTTCTACCTGGGAAGTTCCACCTGAGTGATGGGTTTAAAAATTGAGGAAGTAAACTTCAGAAGTCTCAGACCTCAGCGAAACCCAGTGAGGAAAAATGTGAAGGCAGATTATCCTAGGAATAGAACACAGCTTCCATCTTGAGTGTATCAGACTTGCTCATGTACCTGTTAGTAATTTTGAAGTAGGAAATAACAAATTCCTTTCGTCTTCTATACTCAATATAACATACATTTGTGAGCAGATGTGTGGTGGTGTTCTTCCCTACCAAATGCAGAATTAGCTTATGTGGAATGCTTTATGTTTTAGCTCAGTTCTGATGCCATGCACCTGGAATTAGTGCGAACTCTGCAGATTGAGAGCTGCCTACTTCACTTGCCAGTAACTAGTGTCAGGTTGTGACCGGTGCTTTATCCATGGGTTCTCCCACAACTTCCTTTTTAGCTTCAGGACAAAGCAACAAGTGAGAAGGAGTGTGAAGCTTCCATTCTCAGCATCCATTGGTGGTCAGTACCCTGAAAGTACTGAACGGTATTCCAGGGAGTGTTTTTTTACGTCTGTCTTCCTACCTACCCACCATCCTTCCTTTCTTAAACATTTATTTATTTGAAAGGCAGAGCTATAAAGAGAAGAGTCCAAGAGGGAAACAGGTCTTCCATCTACCAGTTCACTCTCCTGATGAGCAAAACAGCTGGGCCAAGCCCAAGCGAGAAGCGGAAGCTCTGTCCAGGTCTCACACTGAGTGCAGGGGCTGGAGCACTTACACCACCACCTCCTTCCCCAGGCTCATTAGCAAGGTGCGCAATTGGAAGCAGAACAGCCAGTATTGAACTGGTACTGCACTGAAGGGACTTTCATAGAGGCTTCATAGCATGAACATGATCAGTCATTAACTCAATCTCTCAGCCCTCTTCACTTCTTTGAGGCTGGTGGGTTAAATGGAAAGTTCCAAGCTGACATCCAGGAACATGCCAAGATTCAACTCATTACAAGAAAAGATACTCTTATTACCTAGGAAGCTTCAAAGGATTAAGAATTTTGTGGGGCCAGTACCCACATGGACCTATACACACATGTGGGAGACCTTGATATAACATTCAAGGCTACTGGTTTTAGCCTGGCCCAGTCCTGGCTGTTGGTGGATATTTAAGAGTGAACCACCAGATAGAAGTATGTGTGGATGTGCTATACGTGTCTGTGTCTTCCTCCTTTCAAATAACTAAAATAAGAATCTTTTTAAAAATTATTTTTATTTTGGATGATTTTTACATAGTTGATTAGGGTGATAAAGGGTCAAGAGCTACAGGAAGGTGGGTAAGATCACCATTTCCACATTCTCTCTTTTTTTTTTTTCCTTCCTGTATCTGAGCAAAAGGGGGAGATAAGGGGAGAAGCCACACCCCAAATCCCAGGGTCTCCTGTGTGGAGCATGCTCTGAGGGTCCTGCTCAAGAGGTTCTGATAATTCAACAGTTCTGATTACTGTTGATCTTGCCACTCCAAGCATGATGAAATCTCTCCCAAATCCACTGGTGGACATAAAATAAGAATTTTTTTTTTAAAAAAGTTCTGTGTCAGGAACTAGATTCAGAAACTAGATATGAAAACAAGGTACACACAGCATGCCTTCCTATCAGGAAATTAGAATGATTTTAGGAGCACAATGCCTGGAATCGAGGGTGAAGACCAAGATATGTTTTTTTTTTCTTTAAACATTTTTTAAAGATTTATTTTTATTGGAAGGACAGATTTATAGCAAGAAGGAGAGACAGAAAGAGCTTTCATCTTCTGATTCATTCCCCAAATGGCCACAGCAGCAAGAGCCTAGCTGATCCGAAGCCAGGAGCCAGGAGCTTCTTCCAAGTCTCCCACGTAGGTGCAGGGTCCCAAGGCTTTGAGCTGTCCTCTGCTGCTTTCCCAGGGAGCTGGAAGGAAAGTGGAGCAGCCAGGACATGAACTGGCATCCATATGGGATCCCAGAACATGCAAGGCAAGGACTTTAGCCACTAGGCTGTTGCACTGGGCCCTACGTGTATTATTGTAAACTTGTTGGTACACAAAAACTATTAACCATTTAGAAGAGACGTTTGTTGGCTCTATTTAACTGTGCAGAGGTGTGCAACAAACAGATTGCTTCATTCATAAGACTAAAATAACAGAGAAAACCCAGATGAAAGAAAAAAGCAGGGTCAGCATTGTGACAGTTCTGATCCCGGCAGCTCCACTTCCCATCCAGCTCCCTGCCTGTGGCCTGGGAAAGCAGTCGAGGACGGCCCAAAGCCTTAGCACCCTGCACCTGCGTGGGAGACGTGGAAGAAGCTCCTGGCTCCTAGTGTCAGATCAGCTCATCTCCAGCCATTCTCATCACCTGGGGAGTGAATCAATGGATAGAAGATCTTCCTCTCTGTTTCTTCCTCTCTCTGTGTCTACTTGGCAATAATAATAAATAAATCTTTAAAAAAAATGTATATGGAGATGCCGAGTAGAGTTCTACTGTAGACATAATGCTGAAGTATACATTTAAATACATGCATCATGAAACACTGGATTGTTTTTATAGATTATATACCTATATAAGATTGTTGGTTCACAGAATAACACACTAGAAACATTGTAATACCTCAAAATTAGAAAAATGCTCAATTCTCAAAACTGCTTAAGACTTCCCTTTTCAATGAGATCCCGACCAGTATTAAATATGAACAATTAGTGTTAACTGCCGTGGTGGAACTTGGTTTTGATTTCTAGTTTATACAGGACCCCAAAATCATAAATTGGTAGTCGTGAAAGTTCAGTTAGTGTTGTTAGCACCTGGGCCTAGTTGGAAATCCTTAGGTCTTTGTGGATGTGTCTTT